TCATCATTACCATCGTCATCGTCATCGTCATCACCATCATCATCATCATCATCATCATCATCATCATCAGCAGCATCATCAGCATCAGCATCATCAATGTCACCATCATCACCATAATCATCATAAAAATCATCCTCATCATCATCATCATCATCATCACCATCGTCATCATCACCATCAGCATAAACAGCATCATCAGCAGCACCATCAGCATCAGCATCATCGTTATCACCATCATCATCATTATCATCATAATAACCATGTTCATCATCATCATCATCAGCATCATCATCATCACCATCGTCATCTTCATCATCATCATCACCATCACCATCGTCATCATCACCACAAACGGCATCATCAGCAGCATCAGCAGCATCAGCATCATCGTTATCACCAGCATCATCATCATCAGAATCATCATTTTCATCATCATTACCATTGTCATCATCATCATTACCATCGTCATCGTCATTATCACCATCATCATCATCAGCAGCATCATCATCCTCATCATCATCATCGTCATCATCATCATCACCATCGTCATCATCACCATCAGCATAAACAGAGTCATCATCAGCATCATCAGCATCAGCATCATCGTTATCACCATCATCATCAGAATCATCATAATAATCAGTTTCATCATCATCATCATCAGCATCACCATCGTCATCTTCATCATCATCATCGTCACCATCGTCATCATCAGCATAAACAGCATCATCAGCAGCATCAGCATCATCGTTATCATCATCATCATAATGATCATAATCACCAGTTTCCTCAGCATTACCATCGTCATCATCATCATCACCATCATTATCATCATCATCATCATCATTATCACCATCATCATCATCATCATTAGCATCGTCATCGTCAGCATCATCAGCATCATCATCATGGCCATAATCATCAACATCATCATCATCGTCATCATCATAATTATCCTCATCATCAGCATCATCGTAATAATCATGATCATCACCATCGCCATCATCATCATCATCATCATCGTCGTCGTCATCATCACCATCATCATAATCACCATCGTCATCAACATCAGCATCATCAACATCATCGTCATCATCAGCAGCACCAGCATCATCGTCATCATCATCACCATCGTCATCATCATCATCACCATCGTCATCATCATCGTCATCATCGGCATCATCATCATCGTCACCATCATCATCATCAGCATCATCATCATCGGCACCATCGTTATCATCATCACCATCGTCATCAACATCATCAGCATCATCAGCATCGTCATCGTCATCAACATCATCGCCATCATCATTATCCTCAGCATCATCATCGTCATCAGCATCGTCATCAGCGTCATCATCATCGTCATCATCATCAGCATCCGCATCATCATCACCATCAACATCATCATCATCATCATCGCCGACATTATCATCATCGTCGCCATCATCATCAGCAGCAGCATCAGCATCATCAGCATCATCGTCATCATCGGCATCATCGGCATCATCGTCATCAGCAGCATCATCATCATACGCATCATCATCGTCAGCATCATCATCATCATCGTCATCGTCATCAGCATCATCATCGTCATCAGCATCATCACCATCGTGATCATCAGCACCATCGTCATCCCCATTATCCTCATCACAATCAGCATCAGTGTCATCATCGTCATCGTCATCATCATCATCATCGTCATCGTCGTCGTCATCATCATCACCAGCACCATCAACATAACATCATCATTATCATCACCATCGTCATCAACATCATGGTCGTCAACATCATCAGCAGCATCACCATCACCATCATCATCATCATCGTCATCACCATCATAATCGTCAGCATCACAGCATCATCAGCACAATCGTCATCACCATCAGCATCGTCATCATCATTATCAGCATCATCATGAACAGCATCAGCTTCATGATCATGACCCTCATCATCAGCATCTTCAGCACCACGAGCATCATCAGCATTATCGCCATCACCATCATCAGCAGCATCAACATCGTGATCATCATCACCATCACCATCGTCATCATCAGCAATATCATCATCATCATCATCATCAACACCGCCATCATCATCGCAATCACAATCATCATCACAATCAGCGTCGTCATCATAATCATTATCCTCATCATCCTCATCACAATCGTCATTATCATCGTCATCGTCTTCAGCGTCATCATCGTCATCATCATCAGCATCATCATCACCATCGTAAACATCATCATCATCGTGATCATCAACATCGCCATCGTCATCATCAGCAGCAGCAGCATCGTCAGCATCATCAGCCTCATCATCGTCATCAGCCTCATCATCGTCAGCATCGACACCATGATCATCATCAGCATCATCAGCATCATCGTCATCACCATCATCACCATCATCATAATCATCAGAATCATCATTTTCATCATCACCATCGTCATCATCATCAGCATCATCGTCGTCACCATCAGCATCATCATCATCATCATCACCATCGTCATCAGCAGCATCATCATCACCATCAGCATCATCATCGTCATCGTCATCAGCATCATCGTCATCGTCATCAGCATCGTCATCATCACCAGCACCATCACCATAGCAACATCAGTATCATCACCAACGCCATCATCCTCATGGTCGCCAGTATCATCAGAATCATCACCATCATCATCACAATCACCATCGTCACCATGAGCATCATCATCATCACCATCATCATCATTATCAGCAGCATCATGAACATCATCAGCTTCATCGTCTTTATCATCATCATCTTTATCATCAGCATCATGAGCATCATCAGCCTCATCGTCATCACCGCCATCAGCATAATCATCATCGTCATCATCATCATCACCATCACCATCGTCATCATCAGCATTATCATCATCACACCCATCATCATCGCCATCACCATCATCATCACGATCATCATCGTCATCATAATGATCATCCTCAGCATGAGCATCATCAGCAACATCAGCATCGTCGTGATCACCACCATCAGCATGATCATCATCATCGTCATCATCATCATCGCCATCACCATCAACATCACGATCATCATCGTCAACATCATCGTCATCATCATTATCATCATCGTCATCATCATCGTCATTGCCAGCATCATCACCATCATCATCATAATCATCATCAGCATAATCATCACTGTCATCATCAGCATCCGCATCAACATCATCATCATCATACTGATCGCCTTGTTTGTCATCATCATCATCACCACCGTCATCATCATCATCATCAGCACCTTCATCATCGTCATCATCATCAGCATCATCATCAGCCTCATCAGCATCATCACCATCGTCATCATCTGCATCATCGTCGTCATCATCATCGTCAGCATCACCCTCATCATCATCACCATCGCCATCGGCATCGTCATCATCATCATCATCATCGTCATCAGCATCAGCCTCATCATTGTCATCATCACCATCGCAATCGTCATCGCCATCATCATCATCGTCATGATCATCATCGTCATCGTCGTTGTCATCATCATCATCATCAATATCATCATCATCATCATGGTCATCGTCATCATCGTCATCAGCATCACCTTTATCACCACTATCGTCATCATCGTCATCGTCATCATCACCGTCATCGTCAGCGTCATCATCGTCATCATCATCAGCATCATCATCGTCGTCATCATCATCAACACCATCAGCATCATCATCGTCAACACAATCGTATCATGAGCCTCCTCATCGGCATCATCATCATCATCGCCATCGTCATCGTGATCACCATCGAAATCATCATCAGCATCATCGTCAGCATCATCACCATCATCGTCATCATCGTCGTTGTCATCATCATTATCTTCATCAGTATCAGCATAGCATCATCGTCATCATCAACAGCACCGTCACCATAACACCGTCATCACCATCACCATCGTCATCATCATCATCATGGTCGTCAACATCATCAGCATCATCACGATCATCATCATCATCGTCGTCATCGTCATCATCAGCATCATCATCATCGTCATTCATCGTCATCATCGTCATCATCATCATCGTCATCATCATCACCATCATCATCATAATCCTAATCATCACAATCGACATCATCATCATGATCATCGTCATCATCATCGTCATCACCATCAGCACCATCATCATCGACATCATGATGATCATCATCACCATCATCATCATCGCCATCTTCATCATCATCATCATCATCGTCATCATCATCATCTTAATCGTCGTCATCATCCCCATCATCATCGCCGCCATCGTCATTGTTATCATCATCACGAGCGTCATCATCATCATCTGCAGCATCATCATCAGTATCATCGTCATCGTCATCATCATAATCATCATCATCGTCATCAAAATCACCATCATCATCATCACCATCGCCATCATCATCATCGTCATCAGCATCATCACAATCATCATCGTCATCATCAGCATCATCATCTTGGTCGTCATCGTCATCATCAACATCATCATCACCACCATCGTCGTCATCATCGACATCATCGTCATCGTCAGTGTCATCATCGTCGTCATCATCATCAGCATCATCAGCACCATCAGCATCATCATCGTCATCACCATCGTCATCATCACCCTCACCATCATCATCATCAACATCGTCATCGTCATCGCCATCATCATCACATCATCATGAGCCTCATCATCGTCATCATCATCGCCATCGTCATCGTCATCATCATCATCGCCATCGTCATCATCATCATCGTCATCATCATCATCATCATCATCATCCTTGTCATCGTCGTCATCATCAGCATCGTCATCATCATCAGCATCATCATCATCAGCAGTGCGGACGCGGCCGCAAGAATCCTCTCGCGAAAAACAGCCCGGAGCATCCACGCGCGAGCTGCGATGCTGGGGGAGGGAGCTGAAGGGAAACATCACATGTTTGTCATTGTGACAGCCGGCCGTGAGACACAGCTTCTTGTATGACAACCAGTAGACGCCACAGCAGTTGTGATGTTTCACCTGAACACCCCGAGCGCAGCAGCTGTCTTGACAGCAGCAGGGAGTCGCCGCGCAGCGCTCGGAACGAACAAAACCAGGATGCCCGCGGGAATTGAGTAGGGAACGACCGTCCTGGCATTCCTGTAGGCCTACCACGAAATGTTCTCGGAACCCATAAATGCTCAAATAAGAAAGCGCTGTTCTTAGAACGTAAGCCCGATGTGCTAAAACAAGACAGTCTCAGCCAGAACTGTTCTAAGTTCTAAGATAATTTCGCGCAGACTACAAAAGGTTCTCAGAAAATTATGTGGTGGGCCTATGGGGAAGCCAGGACGCTTCGCCACTGCTTGAAGGAAGTGCGCCTGGAAACTTTTTTTGTTCAAACTTTTCGCTCACGGGAGACGAGATTAGACTCGACACGTCCTTACAACACGTCGCTCAAAACGATACCTGCAGCCCTGCGCGCAGCAGCAACCCAAACAGTCTGCTGGGGGGTAAGAGCAGGCGCTCACGATATACTATCCTGGGGAATAACAGCAGGCAGCGTACTGGTCATAATAGCAGTCCATGCCGAAGGGAAACCAGGTTGGTTAGGCGGGGGGAGGCGAGAGTAGAAAAAGAGCAAAACACATGAACATAAACTTTTGAGGCTCCGCGCGGATTTCTTGGATTCGCTCTGGGACCCCCCTCCCTGGCGCGCCGGGGCGGCGCCAGAGGCGCCGCCGGGAGGGCCCAGGCGCGGAACGAACAAAAATCCGCGCGGAGCGCCTGAAGTTATGTTTACAGCTAGCTCTTCTTTGAGAAAGGCACTCTACTCTGTGGCCGTCTCGATCTCTGGGCGCCGCGGCGGGGTGCCGGAGGCCATCGGGAGCCGAAAGCCGAGCGGCGCTGCCATTGTCCAGGTACTCTGGACAGCACTGCGGCCCTCCCCACGGCTCCGGGAGCCCTGCACGGCGTTGAACAAGTAGAGCGGTTCCCCGTGCTCGTCGAGCAGAAACTGGGGCCGTTCGCGGCGCTCCAGCTTGGTGCTGGATCCACCGTCCCAGCTCGCCAGCAGGTCGTACGCCGGGTCCTCGACGATTTGCCAGAACTTCCCGTCGACCGAGAACGCGTGCTGGCCCACAATCCCCTTGAACTTGTTCTCGAAGATCATGTGGTAGCCAGAGCCGTCGGAGTTCGCGAACACGACTGGATCCTCCCCGCTGGGCGTGATCGGAGTGTCGCGGATGCGGTGGTATGGGCCTCTCCATGACTGGGCGAAAAATGCTCCGATCTTGCGATGGCGCTTGCCTGTGAAATCGGGATGGAAGCGGTCGTCTCCGCGGTAATACAGAAACACCGAACCATTCTTGAGCATGAGCGGGGCCGGGTTCGTGACAGCCGTGTCCCAGTGCTCGCCCCCTCGGGGCCGCATGATCGGCTTGCCATTGTTCAGAAGGTCCCAAGGCCCGTCGAGCGACTTGGAGAAAGCGATGCGGATGCGGCCGTCGAAATTCGCGGGGCCCCCGCTGTTGGCCGACCGCTTAGGTTCAGCATGTCGCCCTTTCCTGCAGTCCCTCAGGTAGAGCGAGCGCTCGTCAGCGGAGAGGGTCTCTCCGATGTGGTAGAGCAGGTATGTCCCATCAGGTGCTCTGGTGATTGTCGGGTTGTGGGCAAACTCGGAGAGCACCTCATCCTTGAAGCTGTATGGTCCGTCCGGGTTCGCAGAGACAGCGTGGTGGATCACCGAATTGAACTTCCAGCTGTTCAGACCGCAATCCCGACTGATGAATGATACGAACATGTGGTAGGACCCGTCGTCGGCACGGATGACGCTCCCCCCCCAGCTGGCCCCCTCCGGGTTGCGGTACCCGTTGGTGCTAACGTTGCTCGCCTCTCCGATGGCCAGCATCTCGCACTTAGCCCCCTGCCATATGGGATAGCACTGGCACCTGCCCTCTACGCACTTGCCGCCCAAGGAGCAATCCACTGCAGTCTTGCACACGGCGCTCGCCGTCAGGCTGATCGCGGCGGCCCTCAACGCCGCGAGCGGAATCAAGACAGCGGCCATCCGCGTCATCGCCAAAATCTCAATGTGTCTGGATGTGAAGTGAACGTGCGGTCAGTTTCAAAATTATTCTATAATCGTGGACCTTGGACAGCTTCCTTGGGCCAACAAAAAATCAACGCGCCTGGGGTCTTGATGCGGGTCCCCACTGTACTGTGTGGGGCGGGGCGGGGGCTTATGGCCATCATCGCCGCCCCGGGCGTCGCTCTTCGGGGACCTCGGCAGTGGACGCATCATCGCCGCCTCGCCAACTCCGCGGATCGCTCGGATCTGCGCTGGACCCCCTCGCTCCCCGAGCAGCGCCCCCGACCCACACCATGAGTCTGCGGCCCACGAGCTCCCGACCCGTTCCCGTGGGGTGGCCCTCGTCGTCCCGAGCCCGTGCTCTCGGAGCCCTGCCTCCGAACGCGGGCCCCCAAGGTCGGGAGCGGCCAAGAGGGGGGGGTCCAAGAGGGGGGGGGGTGCAAATCATGACCAGCGGCATGTGCGCGGCCCAGCGGGGGGGCCAGGGACGTAATGGCGCCATGAAATCTGGGGAAATATCATGGCCCACGCCACGATATCCACCCCCTCCTAGTCATCACCCCCCTCTTTTTCGCCCCCGACAAGGGGCCGAAGTCCAGGAAGCAGCTCCCAAGCCAGGAAACCCGGAGGGGGGGAGCTCCAGGGGCGGGGCCCGCTGGCCCAGGTCGGCCCATCGGGGCGCAAAGATTTGCGCAGGGACGGACCATCCTGGCACTCCTCTAGGCTGGCCACGACATCTTCTCAGAACCCCCAGATGCTCTAAGAGCACAACCGCTCACTGTTCTCAGGGCACAGAGCCGATGTGCCAGAAGAACACGGCCCCAGCCAGAGCTGTTCCGAGAGCGCCCCGTGCAAGCCACGAGGGGCCCTTGGAACACTCTCTGGCGGGCCTATAGGCACGCCGGGACGCCTCGCCACTGCTCGGAAGAGGCTCGCCCTTCGTGTTTCGTGCGTCGCGGCCTGGGCTGGAGGGGCGCCCTTTCTCCAGGGCAGCGGAGGAGGATTAGGAGGAGGAGGAGGAGGAGGAGGAGGAGGAGGAGGAGGAGGAGGAGGAGGAGGAGGAGGGGGGGGGAGGAGGAGAGGGGGAGGGGGAGGAGGAGGAGGGGGAGGAGGAGAGGAGGAGGAGGAGGGAGGTGGAGGAGGAGGAGAAGGAGGAGGGAGGAGGAGGAGGAGGAGGAGGAGGAGGAGGAGGAGGAAAAGGAGGAGGAGGAGGAAAAGGAGGAGGAGGAGGAGGAAGAGGGCACGAGGGCGCGAACAGGCGTGCCCGCGTGCCGCGCGCTTCGCGGGGCGCGGGCTGCGCGAAACTCCACTGCACCGCCCCTGCAAACGTGCTGACGTGGATGTCCTGGCGGCGCGCACGAGGGGGTGGAGGGATGGGGGAAGGGTCTCTTAGAAGGAGGCTGCATCTTAGAAGGCGCCGGCCTTACACCTACAGATAATACCCGCGCCTTCTACGAAGCAGGGGTGATTCAAAAAAACCTCCCCCACCCCCATGCGCGCGTGGCTGAATCCCACCAGCCCTTTGGGGCGTAGGTGGTTTAGGGTGTTTCGTCTTCCACCCCCTTCTTCCCCCTCGGGGAGGGGTTTATAATTGTTCCCTATTCGTATACACCCCCACCCCGAGGCGACTGGGAGCCAACCAGGGACAATGAGGGCCCCCCTCTCCGCCATCTCGTGTACAAAAATAATACAAAACACACTCTGCTTCCAAACTCGCAGCATGCGCAGCGAACCCGATGCGGCTTCCCCCCACCATCCCTGTCAAAAAACAATACGGAGTACACTTGGCGGCGGCGGCGGCTGCGGCGGGGGCAGTTGTTTCGGCGGTTGCGGCGGTGGCGGCGGCGCTGGCGGCGGTGGCGGCGGGGGTGGCGGCGGCGGCGGCGGCGGCGGCGGCGGTCGCGGCGGCGGTGGCGGCAGCGGTGGCGGCAGCGGCTGCGGCGGCAGCGGCTGCGGCGGCAGCGGCTGCGGCGGCGGCGATTCGGCGGCGGGGGGCGGGCGGCGGGGGCGGCGGGCGGCAGACGGCGCGGCGGCGGCGGCGGACAGCGGCGGGCGCGGACAGCGCGGCGGCGGCGTGCGGCGGCGGCGGCGGGCGGGGGGGCGGCGGCGCGGCGGCGGCGGCGGCGGCGGCGGATTCGCACCCAGTACCTGCCCATCCAAAGACGACTGCTGAATATGCTGCGGCTCGGGCCAGGCTCGGGTGCTACGTATGTGTTGGGAAGGCGGGTGGGGGTGAGCGAGGCGGCTTGCGGCCAGGGAAGGAGTCTTGACCCCTCCCCCTACCCCCCCCCTGGACTTGGACGGGGCGTTCCGCGAGCGGTTGGAGCGTCCAGAACGGCCTCGGCGAGGAAGCCAACATCACTGGTTTTAGAAAAGTGTGGGCCCCATTTTGGCCTGCTGGGGCGGCAGCGCGAATTAAGGCCCCCCCTTCTTTGATCGATCTCCTCCGAGATGGCTCCACGAGCGCTCCCAAGGCTCCCCAGGGTGCCCCAAGAGGGCCCCAAGAGGTGGCCATGAGGGCCCAAGAGGCCCACAAGAGGCCCCAGGATGCCTCCAACAGGCTCTCAAGAGACCCCCAAGAGGCCCCCCAGTGCTCTTGGAGTCATCTTGTGCAGTGCCTCCCCCTCCTCCCCCTCCTCCTCCTCCTGCTCCTCCTCATCCTCCGCCTCCTCCTCCTCCTCCTCCTCCTCCTCCTCCCCAGCCGCCACCCTGGCGCGAGACCCACCAGGGGCGGCCAGCGCGCGGCGGCCATGTGATCCGCCGCGGCGACTGCGCGGGAACCGCGATGGCGCGGTCCGTGGGCCAATGGGTGTTGCGAGTCATGGGCTTCAACCCGATGTTCGCGACGGGCCAGCGGCTGCAGGAGATTGCATTGAGCTGTAGCAACATGTATGTGGTGATGCTGGCGGGCACGCAGGCCTCATCCCGCCGAGCGTCCGAAGTGCTGTTCCGAAAGATCGGCAAGCGCGTGGTGCTCGAGGCGGAGGCTAGGGTGGGTGCCGTCACCAATCGTTCGACGGGCTGTGCATTGATGTTGGGTTCAAAGTTCCGTGAGCAGCACATCTGCCAGACCTGGGCTAGCCCCCAGGGTGCTGAAGGCCGAGCACTGGCAGCCCGCGTGAAGAATGGACAGCTTGACCTGGCATTCATTGTGATGTATCTGCCGCCGCAGCCCCGTCACGCTCGCCTCGTCCCCCACGACAAGGCCACTGTCCAGCTATTTGCCGAGTGGTACGACAATATTCTCCAGTGCCTGCCGAGCAAGTGCACGCCGCTGGTGTACGTGGACCTGAACGATGGACAGGGGATCAGCCGTATTGCTGGGCAGTGGCATCAGATGGAGTCTTCCTCGTTGGGTCCTGGGCGTGCTCGGGAACAGAGGCGTGGCGGAGCTGGAGAGTTGTTTCGATTAGCGAATGAGCGCCATCACATGTTTACGGTGAATTCGAGAGGCGCAGAGTTGGAGCACACTTTTTACGGTTCGACTGGAGGGAGCAGTTGTATTGACTATTTCTTCGTACCCGATGGCATGATCGACATGGTCCACCGTTTCTCTCCATTGCGTGGGCTGGCTGCCGAACTACAAGCGTTTCGGGGGGGCCCGCCAAAAGACCACATCCCTATATACATGGAGCTGCATGGCTTGAGATTATCAGAGGATAAAGAGTCACCTTCACTCCATCGCACGTACTGGAATCAGGACGACATGATGAGATGCTTGCGAAACGGCGACAGACGAGCTGAATTCCTGGAGGCGGTCAAGGCCAGCCTGTCAGATAGTGAGGACACTTGGAGAGCTCTGCTGCAACACGGACGGCCTGATGAGTTGTTCAAGCACCTGGATGACACAGTGGTCAGTGCGGGGCAGCAATTCTTCAGCCACACCGTGTCCAACGACCCGACGTACAGGCAGGAGGCCATGGAGCGTACTGCACTTCTACGTGAAAGGGCTCGTCTTCGTCGTTCGCGTCTTGGCATGATCGAGGATTCCATAGAGTTGCAGGAATGTGAAGTACGCTTGAGAGATCTCAGTCAATCGCTCCGTAGGCAGCGACAAAAGTATCAAAGGGAAAGGCGGACCGCCCTTTTGGAGGAGATCGAGGAGGCGTGGCAAAATCGCCGCATGGCCGAGGCTATGCGTTTGTCCAGGAGAGCTGCCCGATGTCGGTTTGGGCCGAAACGATGGCACGGGCGACTTCTACGGGGAGGGCTTTTCTCAGAGGATACGCTCCTGGAACATTGGGCCCAGCTGGGCTGCGAGGGGGGAATGTCGGCACGCAAGCTCGATTTCGACGCCTGGATGGAGACAGCTCCAGCAGGGGAAACGCCTTATGTCTCAGTGGAGGATTGCGAACTCGCCAGTCAGGACCAATGGAGGGTCATGAAATACTTTCGGTCTGCCAGCAAAAGGAGAGTGGTACCATCGGGGACCCCGCCAGCGGAGCTCTGGCTGATGTGCATGGACCCGTCGAACAACATAGATGCTACGCACATGGGGGTAGGATACAATCGGGAAGTTCCTGAGATGAAGCTGTTTGGGAAGATTCTTGAGGGAGGATTTCGGAATATTCGGGCAACCAACAGGACACCGCTGAGATGGCACGTTAGCTCGGGGGCTCAGCTCAGGAAGAGCGCGAAACCAATCCCGGTGGGCCGACGTACTGTGCACGTCCTCTCGACCCTGGGGAAAGCCTTTTACTCGGGGCACCTTCGAGCTCCTCCCATGGTCATCGAGCACGGATTCTGTTCAGGCCAGCGGCGCGAGGGGGCCATTGTAGTGGTACAGCTGCTGTGCTGGCGCCTCCGACGCGCGGGCCATTCGGTTGCTTGCACTTATAAGGACATGACGAACGCATTTGCTAGTGGGTCCTGGAAAGAATTACAACAAACAGTGGATGTTCACGCCGAGCCGCACAATGTTGACTTGTGTATCCAACGTTTTCGAAACAGTGTTATTTGGTTGGAGACGGTGGAGGGAGGATTATACATCAAGACGGGGGAGGGCGGCACGATGGGGGGCCCCTTCATCGTCGAAATCTTTAGGGGCACCTTTTCACGACCTATCTTGCAATGGCTTCGAAGGCTGAGGGAGCTTGATCCGTCAGCTGCAGGTCTTGTGGCCAGCTGGAAGGAATTAAAAGCGGACGTCGGGGGCTGCCTGTACGCCGACGATATTTGCCGTGCGCATCATACGGTGGGACAGTTTTTGTTCGGTTCTGAAGCAGGCT